AGGTAGTACAAAATCATAAATAAATAAATAATAATAATAAATACAGAAATAAATGAGGAAAAATAATTATATTAACAGTTAATCAAAGCTTTGAAACACAGGGAGAATTAGAAGGAAGTGCAGTGGGCCTGATCAACCAGTGTACTCTTCTAATGGAAAACTGTGTCCTTGGTTAACAATTTAAATTTTTTCCTCTATGGAATAAATAATTCAATAATGTAATTATGTAAGAAAATAAGTGATTATATGATTAAATAGGTGTGAAAGTTAAATTGATAACTGATAACAGTATGCTAGTGTATTTTAATATAGTGTTGGATATGGAAATACATATATAAAAATACAGGAACGTAGTATATGTGTGCCTGTGGAAAAATATATGTTTGAGAATGAGTTGTTAGTGTGAATTTGATAAGGAAAACTAAATGATTCGGATTCGAGCGACATTTAGAATGTGTTGTTAATTAGAGTATTGAACATTATTATATGTATTTGGAGAAAATTGACATGATGTTTGGTTAGTGGATTCTTATAATTATTGAAGGTAAATATGGTTTTCTGGATTGGAATGATATATTAATTTAGTAGAAGTACATAAATGACAATTTTGTTATAAGGTTTGAATATTTTAAGGATTTTGGTTGTAATTCGCTTATATAATTTACGGTGGGAGTAATTTTTCAGAAAGAATAATATTGCGTGGAATTATTTATGAAGTGAGTTTTATTTATGAATAATCACTTTGCTTGGTAAAGTAAGTGTATTGTGATATTCATCAACTATTTTTTTTTTGTGTGAGGAATATAAGGAGTAATTAAATTATTGTGGTTTATAAGGAAAGTATGTTGTGATTTTTTTTAGTTAAGAAATAACATTGCCTTCTATAAATAATGACAGGATTGTGTGGTTGTGGCACCGTAGGATTTAATAAGACGTTGATTTATGAATTAAATGCCAACGAGATTTAGCCTTTTATGGTATTAACTAGTGGTTGCATTCTAGATGTTATGTCAGTTGATAAATAAGGACTATTTTAGTGAGAGATTCTATGATCTGCAGTAAAGGTAAAATGACTTATATTTAAAGAAATTAAGATAATACGTTATATAAATGGACTATGATGTTAAGTGAATTGTTATTGAAATGATATGGGAACATTAAGGCGATTAATTAGTCTGACCCAGGAATTAATATGGTGAAATTAGATAGGTATAATTAAGACCTTTAGTAACATGTTAGGATGTTTATACTAGACTAGATTATGGATTGAGTATAATAATAATGTACGAAGTTTATATTGAACCGAATTTATATTATGAAGCCCTATAGATATATATGTGCAAGTGCCAAGTGTTTGTGGGATAAGAATAAACTGAGAATGAGTAGTGATTAAAGAATCATGTGATTTCAGCTTAAAGATGACAAATCGACTGTGAGTGAATTACCAATTTCTTGTTGCAAGTAGTTAGAATGAGGGAATTCCTATTACTTAGTTTATTGTAAGTTGCTTATTTTATTAAATGAGGAGGGAAAGTTATAAATATGACCATAGTAGAACCTAAAAGTTATAGAATATTTTGCCATTTTGAATAAACAAACTTAGCTGAGTTTTAATTTACTATCATTTGAATACTTGTAGGATTTGGATATAAGAATAACCAGAGAATGCTAGCAAATAAATTTGAATGGAACTTTTAGTAAGGAGATAACACACCAAATATTCGAGAATTGGAAAACATAAACTATAGATTATTGGTATGGTTAACGAGATGGTTAAGATTACATTCTTAAATTTATGTGGGAATGCCAACTCATTTGTGTGTCAGTTAGATTAATATATTATTTTTAAAATTACCCATGGAGTGATCGAGCGGTTACCAATTAAGTGTGAATGATTGAATATATAATTTGGAGTCAATGTAAAAACCTATTTCGAATTTCTTAGTAATTTGGTAACAATTATGATTGAATGGAATATAATTGTTTTTATAACTGGCAGTTTACGATATTATCTTGTGGTTTAAGGAATACTTCATTAGTAAATCCATTCGAGGACTGTAACATTGTTAATTCTGATGTGGTAAGGATTCAATGAGGGTATTAACCTGTGTTATGAAGTACAGATTATAGAGGGAACATTAATTAAGGTTCTTTAGGATATCGTATAGGTATAAAGTACAAATTTGTGGAGGTGAGGACATTACGATAGCCTTGGAGAAAGAATTAACCCCAATGCATATTATTATCTGAAATATTCATAGGCATTTCATGGATTTAAGAAATAAACATTACAAACCAAGAAGGACATAGTTGAATCAGGGAGTGGATAATAGAATGGTGTTTTGCAAAATTTTAGAAAAAGAAATTAAGATTATCCGGCATGGCAACAACTTACTTGGGCTAGTTGCAAATAAAGTTCTTTGTTCATAATTTAGTTAAAGAAAATGGTATGGTATGACCAAATTGGGAAAGATTGGATAAAGAAGTTTCAATAAACTAAAATGGGGACTTGAGTTGTGAAAGTAAATTTTCTCTATAAATAGTTGATGTACTATTTGTTTTTATGAGGATTCTCATTAGTTAGGGATTTGAAGGAGATATATATATTCTTTCATTGGAAAATATGGTTAAGGGTA